CATTCCAACATGGCAAAGATAACATCCCAACAATTATGTGATTGGAGGATATTAGTTCGCTATGTGTGGATATTTTGGCTGTGTAGCAGGATATTAGTCTGTGAGAGGTAGATATTAGTTATTGTTGGTGAGGATATTTATTATGGTAGGAACGAATATTAATCTGGGTGGTGTGGATATTTTTTATGTTGTACGGATATTGGGGCACTTTTGATAACTATTCTAATGTGATCTTTTGTTTATTTAAGCATATAGCATCACACACTTAGCCAACCATATCACACCAATTTACGGTTTAGCGATTAGGATTTAGGGTTAAGGATTTAGTGTTTGGCGATTAAGATTTCGGGTTTAGAAGGCAATATTGTGGAAATGGTTTTGAACACAATGTAGGGTGGTCGATTTTTGTCTGTGGTGATAAGATATTATTATGTGATTGGAGGATATTAGTTTGCGATGTGTGGATATTTTGGCCGTGTAGCAGGATATTAGTATGTGAGAGGTAGATATTAGTTAGGGCTGGTGAGGATATTTATTATGGTAGAAACGAATATTAGTCTGAGTGGTGCAGATATTTTTTATGGTAGGAACGAATATTAGTCTGGGTGATGTGGATATTTTTTATGTTGTACGGATATTGGGGCACTTTTGGTGACTATTCTGATGTGATCCTTTGTTTATTTAAGCATCTAGCATCACACACTTAGCCAACCATATTACACCAATTTACGGTTTAGCGATTAGGATTTAGGATTAAGGATTTAGTGTTTAGTGTTTAGCGATTAGGGTTTAGAGTTTATGTGTAGTTGGTATTAGTCTGCGATGGTCAGATATTAATCTGTGTGCGGTGGGTATTAGTCTGTGATGATCAGATATTAATCTGTGTGTGGTGGGTATTAGTTTGCTACGGTAAGATAATAGTCTGGGTAGTTTGGATATTTGTTCTGTGTGGATGTTTATCTACTGATTTGTATACGATTACATCAATTTAGGGTTTAGTGTTAGGGTTTAGACTTTAGGGTTTACGGTTTAGGATTTAACTTTGGGGTTGAGGTTTAGAGTTAAGGGTTCAAGGTTCAAGCTTTGTGTTTAGTGTCTGTGATTAGGGTTTCAGTTATAGGGTTTGAGTTTTGATTTCTGGTTTAGAAGACAATATTGTGGAAATAATTTTGAACACAATGTAGGGTGGTCAATTTTAGTGTGTGGTGATAAGATATTATTATGTGATTGGATAATATTAGTTCCTGATGTGTGTATATTTTTGCTGTGTATCCGGATATTAGTCTAAGACATCCATATATTAATCTGTGTGTGGTGGGTATTAGTCTGTATGGTGAGGATATTAATTACGGGCTGACTCGATATTGATATTAGGCGGTGGGATATTAGTCTGGGTGTTCTGGATTTTGTTTATGGTGAACGAATATTATTCTGGGTGGTTTGCATTTGTTTTTTTTTTTTGTGTGGATGTTTATCTATGTTTGTTTGTGTTGATATTTAGTTTAAGCAAATTCATAATAAAACAAGATCGTTTTTCGATAAACCGAGATACAACTAGTATTTATTGTCATTCCAACTTGGCAATCCCATAATCTAAAATCTAAAAAAGTATAACCACATAAAAAACGGAAAAAGAATAGTTCAAATGTTGTCTTGCTTGTGCAAATTCTCGATTATCTTTTATATCATGTCCCTTGGAGCCCCCCACGTTTTGATCATGCCACGACGAGGTTGGGATGATCCTTCTCTGACGGTCTCTTTGTTGTTGTTTTTGTTCTTGCTATTGTCCAATATCCCTGGAGCATATATAAATATCCACGTATAAATCAACTGATATCCTGGCCACACAGAACTAATATAAGGTAACTATAATCCATACAAGAAAGAGCAAACAAATATCCAAACATGGAGAACAAATATCCAAACATGAAGTACAAATATCCAGATATGATATTTTCAATATCTGGACATCACAGAACTAACGTTATAGAAGTAATATCCAGATACAACGAATAAATATCTAGACATGATATAACAGATATCTCAACTGCACATAACTAATATAAGTGAACTAGCATCCATATAAGGCAGGGAAATATCAAGACGAAGTAAATAAATATCCAAACATCACATAACTAATATCCGAACAATCAATTACAGAACAATATCCACATCAAAAAAGGTAGTATCCCAAGCATGCTAATTGTTATCCACTATGAAAGGAACTAATGTTTCGGATCTACAAATCGAATCCTAGATCCCAACCACACAACTATCCAGACAATTGAAAACTGATATCCTGGCCGAACAGAACTAATATCGGAACGCACATAAAACATATCCACAAAACCCAGAAAACAATGAAACCCAGATCGAGTCAAATCCACAAAATCCACAAACCTCAGGAACTCAAACCCATATCTAATCAAATCCACAAACCCAGAAAACATATCCACAAGCATGCTAATTGTTATCCACTATGAAAGGAACTAATGTTTTGGATCTACAATTCGAATCCCAGATCTCAACCACACAACTATCTAGACAATTGAAAACTGATATCCTGCCCGAACATAACTAATATCGAAACGCACACAAAACATATCCACAAAACCCAAAAAACAAAGAAACACAGATCCAGTCAAATCCACAAAATCCACAAACCCAGCAACCCAAAACCAGATCCAATCAAATCCACAAACCCAGAAAACATATCCACAAAATAAAAAAAAAGCAACCCATATCTAGTCAAATCTAAGTTACCAGAAAACAAATCCATCAAACTCATCCAGAAAAACGTAGGAAAAGGAAAACCCAGATCTAGTCGAAGCCACGAAACCCTAACTCCAATCTACTCAAACGAACATGAGTATCCATGACCAAAAGAAAAAAAAAACTCGACTACCTCAGTCAACGAAGTTATTCTTTCGTCAACGGTCGCCGTCAACCAACCCCTTCGTTGTCGCTGCTTCGTCGCCGCCGAGTTCGCTGCAAAGCGCCGCCGCCAAGATCGCCGCCGACAAGTTCGCCGCACCGCGCGGCCGCTTCTTCTGCTTTCGGGAGAGGAGGAAAGGGAAAAGGAGAGGAAAGGGAGAAAGAAAGGGCGAGAGAGAGAGGGGGGGGGGGGGAACTAATTTGGCGGAGAACTGAAAAGGGGTAGGGTTTAGGGTAATTTTTCTGTGTTTTTGAATTTGTGGGCTCGGCATGCCCCGCAAGCCATCGTGGGCTTGGCCCAGCCGATGGAATTGGCTCCCTCCCTCACATTCTGACGCGTTTTCTCCTCCACCGATGGATGGCGGTTTGGCGACGTGGAGGCCCATCCAGCCATGTCAGTATCTCCTAACAAAAACCATTGTTAGGAGCATAACTAGATTGCAGAGGGGAAGGGTTTTTCGTTGGCTGAAAATGTTTAGGGCTCCATAATATGAATATCCACATTGGTTATGGATAAAAAATAATAAAATATCAACTAAAAAAAAAACCGCTGAATGTACTCTCCGCTCGTAACCGTTGGATGGCACTGTTGAGCCGCTGGTTGTTAAATCCCTCGGGCCCAGCAATTAATTAACCAATATTAATGGGTCAAAGAAAAAATAAGACGCACCGGTGAAGAAAAACCAAAAAAGAGCCGTTGGGAGCTTTGTAGCAACGGCTACCTATTTCTTCGTCTCCCCTTTTTAAATGCGAATCACTTCAATTTCATCAGCACTTCCGATACAACATCTTCAGATTCTCCACTATCCAGCAACCTTCGAATCAAGCAAAGCAAACCCGCCCACTTTCCCATTCTGCTTCTTCTTCTTACCCTTTCCAAACCCACATCCCCGTTTCAAACAAGGTAAGTTTTTCTTCATTGATAGTTCTAGTTCTATCCTAGATCAGCAAACTCTCTCCTTTTCCGAATCTCCTAACTCTCAGATTCTCCGTGAAATATTGTGCTTTTCAGGTCTCTGTATTTTCTATCCCAAGATGAACGATCTAATGACCAAATCGTGGGCTAGCTACGTCGATCTGAAGAAAGAAGCCATGAAAGACATGGAACAGGGAGGTGCTGGCGACGTGGATCTCGAGATGGGCAATTCGACCAACACCATGGATGCAAACCTCGGGTTGTTTCTCCAGGAAGCAGAGGCTGTGAAGACAGAGATGGAATCCATCCGGGGAATCCTCTCTCGTCTCCAGGAAACCAACGAAGAGAGCAAATCCCTCCACAAGCCCGAGAAACTGAAGTCCTTTCGCGACAAAATCAACTCCGACGTCATGGCGGTTCTCAAAAAGGCCAAAGCCATCAAAACCCAGCTCGAGGATATGGATCGTGCCAACGCCGCAAATAGGCGCCTCTCTGGTTTCAAAGAAGGAACACCAATTTACAGAACGAGGGTCGCCGTTACAAACGGCCTGCGGAAGAAGCTGAAAGAGTTGATGGTGGATTTCCAGGGTTTGAGGCAGAGGATGATGACAGAGCACCAGGAAACCGTTGGAAGAAGGTATTTTACAGTCACTGGAGAGTACCCAGATGAGGAAGTGATTGATAAAATTATCTCGGACGGCCATGGCGGGGAAGAGTTTCTGAAGCGTGCGATCCAGGAGCATGGGAGAGGGAAAGTGCTGGAGACTGTGGTTGAGATACAGGATAGGCATGATGCTGCTAAGGAGATTGAGAGGAGCCTCTTGGAGCTTCATCAAGTGTTCATGGACATGGCTGTTATGGTGGAGACACAAGGTGAGAAGCTGGATGACATCGAGCATCATGTTCTGAATGCCAGCCATTATGTGAAGGATGGCACCAAAGAGCTGAAGACAGCAAAAGATTACCAGAAGAGTGGGAGGAAGTGGATGTGTATTGGTGTTATACTTCTGTTGTTGATTGTTCTTCTCATAGTCATTCCTGTTGCTACCAGTTTTAGCCACTCTTGAAGAGTTAATTCCCTGTTACTCTTTCAAGAGTCCAGTTTAGTATTGAGTACTAAAAAAAGACTTGCTGCGAACAAGCAAGAAGCCTATGTAATATTGGTTCATTCTTTTCTTGAGCAATTGAAATGTTTGAGCAATGAGAGCAGTCTTTGAGTAATTGGTACTTTTAAGAGAAAAAGTTTGATGACTTGTGCATACACTTCCCTGTCCAATGGACAGCGAGCCTTGGGATGCTTCCTAGTGAATCGAAGAAATGTGAATATAGTATGAACTATGGAGGCTTGTGGGGGATGAATATAGAAAATGAATGTGAGAACTACTATCTCAACTTCCTCAATGGCAGAGCACCTCCAAAGAGTTTCTCCAGTTCACTGGCTTCCATTTTGAGCCCATTCAATAAATCCATCTCCTCTTTACTTAGCTCTCTCAAGAAGTATTCTTCATCCTGCTGGAGCTCTTTAAACCCCTCTGCCAATCTCTGGAATAAAGTCTGCTCGGTCTTTTCGGCCTCCAGGACTTGTTCTTCTATTTCTTCAACCTCTCTTATGATGGTCTTTTCTCCTTCTTCAACTGTCTTTTCCAATCTCTCAACAAGGGCAGGCTCGGGACCACAGGTGTTGTTGGTTTTAATGAACTTGCTGAAGTCTCGTCCCACACTCTTAGCTGCTCTCTCGAGCTCGGGTACAATGCTTTCTGGTAAGACTGCACTCCTTGTATAGACAACAGCACCTCCATAGCCATCCCATGCATCGTTCCTCCCCCGATAGTACACGAATACGTAGTCATCAGCTTTCTGCTCAATCTTTGAAGAGAGGATATACCTGTTGAATCAATTATTGAATGCCAACTGATTAGCATAATGATTTGGGATGAATGGAAGGTTTTGCAAGAAAGTCATCACTTGCCAGTCATCTTGATAGTGAAGGTACTCATTGTCATGGTTGTAGAGTGCACCGGGCTGCATTGGATCTTGCAAAAACCTCTGCTCTGCATTCCGGGTAATAAAGCTTCCATCTGGGTACCCTATTCTCCATGATATGTTCCCCACAAGTCTGTCGCCTACGGTATGAAACTCATGCAATTGGCAATCAAAAACATCAAAGCTAGGGTTTAGACCACTGGTGATGAACCATTTCCCTGTGAAGTCAGAAATGTTAAAGTTCTTGACAAGCACTGCCGGATCAGGGACAGGAAATTCTCCAACATCAGATTTCTGAGGCACACACTTCTTTCGAGAGACTGCACACTCATTGAACTCATCCACAACGCTGTTTGCAAACAGGTCCCCACATTTGATCTGCATGGAAACGTTTGTAAGCACAAATGAGTAAACCCCAATTGATACGACTTCTTCAGAAGGTGAGAGCAGTTTGATTGCTGCTTCTCCAAATTAAGATAAACATTCAACTAGAGGAGGATAAGTATAAGAACTGACCTGGCATTCAGTTTCATCAGGCCGGTTATTGCAGGTCTGAAGGCAAGCAATATTGGCGGCACATGAGGGATTCGAGATGCACTTGGCAAATTCTGGCCTAACAAATAAATAAGCGTGTAACTTGAATGAAAAAAGGATCATCATCTGATATTTACTAGATAAACAGCTTATAAAGATGGAATTGAGAATATGGGTCTTTCTAAATGAGCTTAAACAAGCAGATGTCAAGGCCATAGCAGAAGCTTTAGTAAATGCAAGAGATTTGAGTTACCTGCACTCCTTCAACAAGCAAGCACAAGTTTTGAGAGCATCGACTGCCTCCGCTGAAGATGGAATGACCAACAATGAAAATGCTAATATTCCCAAGACTTCCAAGTACTGTCGTTTCGAGACATTTGATAGTATCTGTTTCACCTGAGGACATAAGAAAAGAAGGAAAATCTTGATTACAATCAAAGAAAAGAAACTAAAAAGAGGAGGAAGGTAGCCAAAGGCAAAAGTTTAGAAGGCAAGACCACCTTGAGTATGGTCGTGCTGGTGCTACTAGAACATGAAGCGAGCTTCTTTCTCCATTGGAGCAGCTGATTTGTGCTATTAACTACCACTTCGGTATCCAATCTACAAGACCTTGCCAAATGAAAGTTTCCAGGGTTCCTGCTATGCTGTGAAATTCTCATCACAAGTAAACTGCGAAAATGGCGCCCCTTGGCCCTTCTCCCGTAGGTTATTTCACCATTTGCAAATCCTGATCCAGTGTAGGAGACGCCCAGAACTTCATCCCGAGGCAAGCAAATGGTTTTCCAAGCTAGTTCCATAGTTTAGACTGTGTAATTCTGTTTGTTAACAGGAAAAAAGGGATAAGCTACAGCAGTGGATGGAGGGGTTGCCCAACTCGTACTACTATAATGAAAAAAAGGGCCAAGATTCAAAACCATTGAGATCAAAGCCTACATTTTCCCTAATACAGTTTTCAATTTCAGACCACAGAGCGACAATAGTAGCACAAAAGCAAACAACAGTTATTCCCATTAGCAAAGTGAAGCTCAGTTTAGCTCTAAGCCCAACAATCGCCAAGCAAGTTTAGCTCACACAACAAACTGTACAAGCAAATCATCTTGGCTACTAGTCTCAACTCGGTTTTGCGGTAGTACCAATTTCAGAAACGTATAAGAGAGTTTTTGGAGGAAACCCAAATGGAAGTTTAAGAGTGGAGAGCAAACTTTGAATGGAGATGCAAGAACCCAGTAAGCAGAAAGGGAGGGGAAGAAGCAATTAAACAAGCAAAATTCAGTCATTGCCAACTGGCCCTCCACTGAGGAGCACCGATTTCGTAGAATTAGAAGCTACCCAGTGAAGTAAGAGAACCAGAGAGGGAGACACACATTACCTTGAGGAAAGAAAGCGCGGGTTTCATGACAGTAGAAGAAGAGAAGAATTTAGGACCAAGCAGAGGGGAAATGGAGGGAAGGGAAGAAGCTTGGCGGGGAGAGATCGATCTGTCTTGGATAAGTCGCAAGTCGTTTTGTGGGGTTCAGCCATGATACGTATTCCATATCTTCCTCTCATTCCTTTCGCCAAATCCGAGCCCAAAAAAAAGGCCCCACCACCACCACTGGAACCTTCAAGTTTCCACTGATATTTTTGGAAAACATTTCAAAATACAAAACATTAATAAATAAATTCTCCCAATACAATACTTTATAAAAAAATTCCTTAAAATATATACTAGAGGTTAGAGTAGTTCGCACTACAAGCAAATTAGGTACTATCGCGTATCTGATAACGATTTAGAATGTTCTTATAGTAGGCAAAAAGAGATGATTAATCGGTATACATCCAACACCATTAACTAATTACCTCTCTATCTACTTGGATCTAGCATTGCATCAACGGCATTTTGAGATTGTAATTTCTTTTGCTTATCACTGAACCCTTAATTACATATCTCACTTTCAATGACATACATGCTACATGCATAATCAAAACCCAGCCTGCTGGGCCATAACTGACAATCTAAAGGTCCAAGGGGGTGGGCTTGTGAAGACGAGTTAGAAGTACTACTAAAGAGATCATTGCTTTCGTCGAGAATCGAACACACAATCTTTTTTTATTGTACGTTGTTTCACCAACTAGCTTAATCATCATTCGGATCATTTTGAAATTGTATAATTTTATGGAATATATTTGAGCCTTTCCAACATGTTATATATATATAATTTGTCTTGATAAATAGGAATATTTTAATTGGTATATTGGGAGGGGTTGAAACTAGCACCATTAAGCATAGTCGCTTGCATCAGATAAAATAAGGATAAAATAATAAAAGCAAGAATTACAATCCCAGTAACTTGCTGTACAAAATTAAATGAGTGTTATTAATATATAGAGCACCAAACAAAGTTACAGAGCACTTATATATCGTCCCGAGTTCTGAATTCCAGAGATTAGAACATGACGCGATCGAGCAGAAAATAACTACAGCCCTAGGAGGATTATTAAGGAACAAACAAATTAATAGCCCTAGCTACAGAGCGACAGTTGGCTCCTACGATGTCGTTGTTGTTGCTCCCGAATCTCGGAATGTACCAAACTACGGATGCGAGCGTCGTCGCGCTCGTTCTTCAGGCGGGTCCACCACTGCGGCGGCTTTGGTTTGGCCTTAGTACTCTTGGCCACCACCCGTGTCGCCGTTGCAGTTGCTTCTTCAGCCGGGCTCGGGCTCATCTTCTTGGTGGTGGGTCCGGGGGGCAAGTGAAAGTCAATGACCTTGGAGCGCTTCCTGTTCCTGGCCTCCTCGTGCGCCGCGTATCCTTTCTCCAACTTCCTTTTGCTCATCTCCAACTTCCGCTCGTACGACGCCGCATCATCATCCTTCGCTGCTGCTGTCGGTAGCGGCTTGGAAACGACGACATCTTCCTTTGCTGTGTTGGGGGAGCGGCGAAGGTCGACAGTGATGGTAATGTTGTTGCTTGATGGCGGCTTAGGGTTCCGGACCGTCTTCCTCTTCTTGGGGATTGTAGAGGCTTGGTGCTGCTGTAAAGCCTTGTCCAGGTTGTGGAGGATGTGGGTTTGGCGGGCGGAGAGCTCGTCGGGCCAATGGAGGGCGGCGATGGCGAGAGCAGAATCCAAGATCTCCAACACTTTGGATTTTGGTTGCGACGGGAGATCCTCTGGCCCCACTGCCCACGGCGGTAAACTGAGAGAAGCGGCCATCATCTTGATCAAAGACACTAGAAGGGAAATCGCGTTGAGTGCTGAGCTTGCAGAAATTGGGGTAGACTAGAGAGTAGTGAGGAATTTTGGAAGGCCTAGTGCGCTTCAGTGGTTGCCTATTTATGGGAAAATGCATGGAGATTGGAGAACGAGTAGTAGTGTGAGTGTACTGCGTCATTCCTTTTCCTACACAGATTAGGAGCCTGCCTTCGAACAGTTGGCTGCTTGCTATCCAAGGCAAAGGCGGAAGGCGACACGAAGATTCATTTTTTGTTTCTCTTACTCTTTTCCGTCATGTACTGGGAATCTTTTCTCCAACTCGGAAACGGAAAGAAAAAAGCTAGAGGACGGGCGCTGGGAAGCCCAAATATGAAAGGCCCAATTGTTGAAAGTTTTATGTACAAGCACACTACTCTGGGCCCAATTGCGGAATGTCACTGCCGCTCATCATTCCAAACGAACACGTAAGCTGCAAAACAGAAACACACATGCATACGCTGGATTTAGGAATGGGAACTGTGGCTGAGGAATTTGTTTCTGTACGTACCACAATGAAAAGAAACTATTGAACTTAATTTTCTAAATTTTGGCTTTGATAAATTCATAATGGTTCAAGATAAGATAAGGTGTATAATATGAGTAACCAAATTTGGATACTTCTTTTAAGTGATTGTACATCTAATAGTTGTAAAGTAAAGACATATATTCTTACTCGGATCATATATTCTTCATTCTAACTCGAATTTCATTTTTTTTGTACAAATGGAACAAGTTCGTTGTGCTCTACAAAATGAGATCCATTTTCAATATTCTTTGAAGAAATTTTTTTTATGCCTCTCGTTACCAATTCCATACCATATGGTATCTTCTTCGATTTTAGTCTTTTTCAGATTTTTTTTTACATAGAAAGAACGATTTAAACATGATCTATTGGATTTCAAGAATTTCTTGGAGCAAAATTTTCATACATCTCATTACCAACTCCATACCATACTATACCACCCTAGTATGTGGTGGTATTTTTCATACCATGGTATGCTCTTATTTAATACCAGTCAATACCATATGGTATAGACTAAAAATAACCGGCTCAAATTTTTTTCCTCCAAAATATATCATTTTGAAGAGCATAATTAATCTGATCTAAGTGTGCAAAAAAACAAGTGATAAATCGTTCGTTAAAGAATAAAGAGGAAAAAAATTAAAGGCTTTCCAGGAAAACAAGTGGTATCAGTGCCCTTCTGATTCTTGACCTGACGACGTATAGGTGATCTTGGACGCTGTTTGTGGGGTTTTGGACAACGACCTCTGCTGTGTTTTCTGGTAGGTATTGGCGGCGCTTTCTTGTTGCTCCAATAATTGAAGGCTTGGTTTTCTTGGACAACGTATTTGGGTGACCATTATCTAGGCTTGTTCGCACCTATGGATTCTGCAAAGATGGAGGCGGTTGCGACAAGATTTGATGGGACTAATTTCCCTATGTGGGAGTTCCAGTTCATGAACCTCGTGGAAGGACAGCGACTATCAAGGGTTTTGATCGGCGAATCGAAGAAGTTAGCGGACGACGCTACTGACCAACATAAGAGCGATTGGGCGGTTCCGAATGCCCGGATTGTTACATGGATGTTGGGTTTTGTTGATGTTCCGGCAGCATTAAGTCTTCGCAAGTTTGGTACTACGCATGAGATGTGGATGCATATTTGCAATACCTATTCACAGGCAAATACACTATAGATGCATATTCCGCGTCTATATGAGCTGGAATTCGCTATGGGACATCTTTCTCAAGGCGATCGGGATGTGCGAGGCTATTACAAGGATTACCTGCAGATGTGGACTGAGATGACTTGGTGACTGCTTTTCTGATGATAGGCCAACTAATGTTCTCAAGGAAATAACTCACATGCTCGTTATGCAGTTACTTATGAAACTGAAGCCCGAATTTGAACCCATCCGTGCATCTCTCATTCATCGGGGTATAACTGATCTTGATGTTGTGATTGCAGATCTTTTTCGTGAAGAAACGCGCTTGAAGAGTTGATCCCAAAGCGTCGGGCAGACTTCTAAGACTACGTTTGCTGTGGGACGGCAGGAGTATTCTTCTCGTCCTCAATTTGGGACTCTGTCGAATGGAGAGGTAACGTGTCATTTATGCCTTGAACCTAGTCACGTTCAAATCCATTGTAAGAAGCACAATTATTGTAATTACTGCAAGACGGCAGGGCATATTGTGTTGGAATGTCCTACATTGAAAAAGCGGGGGAAAATTCGTTTTCCTAACTCCGAGTCCTCTGTGGGCGCTCCACCCTCGGCTAGCCATCCTCCTTCTGGTGCAGTGTATGCGGTCTCCTCTGGTCATTCTGGGCTGGCAACGAGCTCTTCTGACAGCGCAGGTGTTGCACTTTTTTGTCCTGATCTGGTCCGAAAATGGGATCAAGAAGCATTACAGGAAGCACTTCCCCAATCATTGAATTCGGCATTCGCCACGGGGCTGTCTCTGGTAAGTCGACCCATTGGTTATTAGATTTGGGAGTGTTGAATCATATGACCCACCTTGAAAGCATCGTTGAACCCGTGGTTGAGACACTTCAGGAAGATCCCTTGCTATCTCTCTCAAGAATCTTGGATAGTCTCATCCTCATCTTACACAAAATGGGTGATCTCCTTTTGCAGACAATGTAGTCAAAAGCACGATTCTACCTGGAAGCGGAAAATGGGTAAAATCGTAAAGCGTAGAATCAAAGCATAAAAATGTAAGTTTTTTACGCATACTTTAATATAATGAAAAATGTGTTAAGTACGATAAAATATGAGTGGACATAGTTTAGATAAGTTAATAAATACTTGTAATTCATGTCTAAAGTTGAGAAACTCATAACATTTTAACAATAAGTTCATAAACATATATCTTAACAATAAGCTACATTCCCTTTATGCTAGTGAATTTGGGAAGGGCCTAGCTGGTGAATTAGATTAGTCTATTGAAACTAAGAATGCACCCAAGTACTTGATATGTATCTTTTAATCTCAAATATATCATATTTTTTGTGATTTACCTTTAAAATATAAGTATTTTCATGAATAGAATACTACTTTAGTGAACTAGAAGCGTAAAAGCGTAAAGCGTTTTAGTGAACCAGAAGCGTAAAAGCGTAAGCTTTGAGGCTTTAAAGCGCATTTTAGTCCCGATTTTATACACTTAAGATTTTATATGGGAACGAAAGCGTTTTGGTGTCCTAGAAGCGTAAAACCGTAAGTTTTTAAGTTTTAAAGCGCGATTTTGACTGCATTGTTTGCAGATCCTCCATTTTAGATGAGGGATGGTATCGGGTCAGGAATTTATCAACGAAGGCGGTCCACGTGGTGATCGACCCCGGAGGCTGGTGGTCCAGCCACATCTTGGCCTGACCCTCCAGAATGAATGAGAATTAGCGTAGGTGCTCCCCATTGATCTTGACCTCATCAATCAGCTCGTGGAACCGCCGTAGGTGCTCTCGTGGGCACTTGCATGTCTTCCCATGGAAGACCACATAACTCTTCATTATTGTGATGACTAATGATATAGGTTTTCATCTCAAAATTGTTAGCAGCAACTTGAGGGTGTTGGATGCTTGACCTCATATCCTCTGGCTGGGCGGTCTAGTAGTACCCCATAGTATGCTCCTCGGGGATAACTTCATTTGCATTGTTGGGGTCACCCATTTCTCCTTCCTGCGCGAGGTTTAGTTGAGCCAAGGCTTCTTCTGCATCCAGTCGTTCCTTTAGTGCTCTCTTAAACTAACGACAGGTCCGTTCAAGCTCTTGGTCGAGCGATAGTAGATCTCCCGACTGGCTATGGGTCATGCACTACCTGCACACAATATGCAAACACAACCCGTGAAGGCACACGGGTGGAAGAGAGAAAGTAGAAAATGAACTGCTAAAGTAACAGACTTTCACGTTTCTACAATAACCTAGTAGCTCCTTAATTAGGTACAAGTTGTAATTCCTTTTGGTTGCTTTATTGTTGATTAGATTGCGGAAGATCCGAAAATAGCTTGTAATCTCTTAACCTGACCAAGCCCTCTTAGAGAGAATACCCGGCAGGCGACTAGCCTTCACCGAGATAGACTGCTAAGACGATTCACATTAATCTCCACTACTTGGAATGAATTCCAATACAAAGCAGTGAATTGAATGACTCTCGTACAATCAATTCACTACTACCAATTGAAGAAGCTATATCTACATAATCAGATTCTATCTATCATAGGTTAAAGTAGAAGTCAAGACAATTTGATCAGGATTCAATTGACTCAATAAACATGCCTCAATCGATTAAAATCATCCAGTATAACATCCAAAAGTCATTAGAAACAAGATCCATAACACATGGAACTAGGGTTCTTCATGCCAATTAAGAGAGAGGTTTACTCCATATATATATATATATATATATATATATAGAGAGAGAGAGAGAGAGAGAGAGGGGAAAACATAAATCAAAGTAATCATACTCATAATGATGTATATAATACGCTATGGGATGTCAATCTTCGCTCCTTGGGATGCAATCTAGGCTTCAATGGTGAGAAATCCACTCCAAATAGCTCCTAGGGTTGGTTCGTCGTCACTTTGTCTCTCTAGAACTCTGTTTTTGCTCCAAAAAGTCGACTCCTCTTCTTTTGGCCCGACACTACCAATTTATCCCAATTATGGGCAGAACACGGTCGTGTTTAGTCTCGCCCATGCTCTATCCAGATCATGCGTTTTCATAAGCTGGTGACGGAGGACATATAGTCGCTTCTCCATTTATAAACACGGTCGTGTTATTGAGAAACACATTCATGTTTTTTTCTTCGCTTGCCCGTGCTTTGCATCCCTTCAGCAGTTTTCACAAGCCACGCTAGCATAAAAAAGCACGGTTGAGGTTCTAGACAAACACACCCGTGTTCTTATGGGAACCCTTCTATGTTTTGCCCAGGAGCCGCCAAAAGATCTCCAAATAACTCTAAACTTGCGGCTAAGTCTTCTTCTACCTGCTAGGACCTGAAATGCGACAAAGTAGCATAACCTAGCGTTAAATAGGGCAAGGGTGTAAACATGTGCAAATATGATGCTATCAGATGTCCTCCTAGCTTGTCGAATATGCATATGCGAGAGGACGATAATATTAACTTGAGAACCATAGATGGAAACACTCAACTCCAGGAATCAATCTCACCCTCTATTTAATCGAAAATCCAACTTCCAACGACTCCATGATTCGATGTAGAACAATGTTTCAAAGACAACGCAATACACACAAAGACTACTAGGGTCGTTAAACAAGGGACAAAATTGCAAGAATTCACAAACTCTGGTTATTAACTATTTTGGATACATCAATATAGGAGAGTTTCAAGAGAAATGTTGGGGGTAAATTGCAAGGTTAGTCACTGAGATTACTAAAAACGTTCATATTTGGTAACCAAAAATATTTAATTCCATTCATTGTCATTAAATTTAGCAAAACAATCCAAATTTGATCACTCTCCGTTAATTTACGTCTGTTTCTGTTTACACCGTCAGTTAATTGCTGATGCGTGACTAACAGAAATGCTGATTCATCCTACTTTAACACGCCACGTCATAAAATTTGACCTGCCATGTTATCAAAATCCGCCACATCAGTTTTTTCAAACCCAAACCCAACCCTTCCCAACTCGTGACGCGACCCTAAACCCAACCACCACCTCCCCTGCTTCTCTCCCCTTCCATTTTCCAACGATTCTCCCCTTCAATCTTACGATCGCTCCCCTTTTCGCCAAGGTTGTTAAACCCCCTATCGAACCCCCCGGTTGGACCCGGTTCAACCCGAGTCGGGCTTCAAAACGGCCTCCAGAAAACCCCCCGGTCTGACCCCTAAACAGGGAGAAGAAGAGAGGCAGAAGAGAGGAAAAGGAACAAAGGAAGGGAAATGGTAGGTGGATCATGGAGGTTAGGTAGATTTATTTTGTTGAAAATAAGTTTTTAATAGATATATGTAAGATAAATTTTATTTCACTCATTAAATTTTTAATTACTACTTTATTTGTATATATATTTAGAAAACGTCTAAAACGGCTCAAACCGGCCGGACCCCGATCAGACCATTAAACCTCAAACCCCTTGCTTGACCGGCTCAATGACTTAAACCGGTTTGACAACTACTTCATATCTGTAACAATTCTTATCACTAGTATAGATCTGATTGTGAAATCTGGAGATCTACCAACGTCGAGAAATGCTAGGATGGAGGAGATCGATGCGGTGGTTTGACGTCAGCCTCGTAACGGCTGGAAGAGATCCGCCAATTGTGACGGTTGGAAGAGGTGCGCAACATGATGGCAGTGTTGCCGAGACAGATCTGGTAATCGACAATGAATCTTGTGCGATGGTGGCCTTCCTTGGGAAGGATCCAGGATTAGTGGACGACGGGGAGGGAGGATGGCGTTAACGGTGGCGCTCCTCAGTAGTTCAGGCGGCCACCCTCGATAGTGGCTAATGAAGAGACGGAAGCGGCGACACGACGAAGGCTAGTCCGCGAGCGATAGCGATGTTGGTCGGGCGATTGGATTCATGGAGGAGGTGGAAGAGGCATGGGAAAAGACAGTTTTTGGCGGAGAGGTAGGGGGAAAAAGTGGGTGGCCAGGAGAGAGGTGTGGGAGGGACAATGTGTTTTTATATTAGGGTTTAAGAGCATATTGACTAAATTGCCCTCTTTTTAATTCTGACTCTAGGATTAGGTTTTTAATCTAACAATAATTAACCTAGTTAGTATGGTGCTAATCCCTTAAGAGGTTAGCAACTTAACTCATTCCAACATTGTCGATCCAACTAAATTTTCTCTCCGATCAGAAAATTTCTAAATCACTATTGATGACAACTAAATCGCTACTAGAAAATTCATAAATCACTACTAATAATAATTAATTCCAAAAGACTATCAAATCCCAATATTTAGCTATAAATCCTAAAATCACTACTACCCACCAAAACTGCTACTGATTTTATGCAGTAGTGGATTTATAAGCACTTTTTCGATAAAAACATCACTAATACATGGAAGAGAGAGAAAGTATAATACATATATTTATTAATTTATATTTTGTGAAATACCAAACAAACCCTTCATTAATAACCACCATCGTGCTAACTCCTATGAAGTGAGCACTGTAACCTCTCCCGATGATGTTGGATGCGAGTTGCGGTGGGCGGCTGTGATGGCGATGAAGAGTGGTGGCAGGAGGGAGTTTGGGCGACGACGAAGCAGCGGAAGGAGGTCGTCGATGGACATCAGAAATGTTTAAGTGCAAGGATTCATCTATCTGCTTGAGAGAAATATGAACCGCCATTCCTCTGCAAATCAATGATCCCATACAACACATTAAAAATAAATTGCAATCCATAAAAACGCAGAGGAACTGCAACCCCTCAATGGCAATGGCGTTCTCGACACCTGTGCCTCCTACTCCTATTCCTCTTCCTCACCACCGGCAGAGAATTATAGGTGGCGAGTTGGAAATGACGATTCCGAAAAAATTCCCGATCGAGATTAGGGGTGCTGCTTCTGTTTGCTGGCTTGACCCCTGTAAGGACCTTTATTGAGGAATCTGACGAAGAAATGGCGAAGAAGAAGATACAGAGGGAAAGAAGAGTTCTGATTATCTAGCTATCTACAAATTGGGAAAGTAGCAATTCTGTTTACAGACTGGTTGAACGGTAGCCAGCTGTCCGGATTGTTACAAAATCTTCCCCCTGCAGACACAGCTTTTCCTCAAGCTGATTCCAAGTTGGTATCAAGATGGAAAGGAGGGAAACTGAAGCTTGAAGATCTGCAGATCTTCCCAAGTTGCTTTTGCTGGTGACTGGTGCGTCTACTATACCAAGACTTGGGTGACACCAACTTTTGCAGTTTCGGTTGGTGACTGGCTCCTACTCCTATTCCTCGTCCTCACCACCGGCAGAGAATTATAGGTGGCGAGTTGGAAATGACGATTCCGAAAAAATTCCCGATCGAGATTAGGGGTGCTGCTTCTGTTTGCTGGCTTGACCCCTGTAAGGACCTTTATTGAGGAATCTGACGAAGAAATGGCGAAGAAGAAGATACAGAGGGAAAGTAGAGTTCTGATTATCTAGCTATCTACAAATTGGGAAAGTAGCAATTCTGTTTACAGACTGGTTAAATGGTAGCCACCTGTCCGGGTTGTTACAAAATCTTCCCCCTGCAGACACAGCTTTTCCTCAAGCTGATTCCAAGTTGTTATCAAGATGGAAAGGAGGGAAACTGAAGCTTGAAGATCTGCAGATCTTCCCAAGTTGCTTTTGCTGGTGACTGGTGCGTCTACTATACCAAGACTTGGGTGACACCAACTCTTGCAGTTTCGGTTGGTGCACTAATCGCTAGGCCAATAGCTGGAAGTTGGACATCAGCCTTGGTTCTGGGAGTTGGATAGCAGCTCTCTTGTGGGTTCCAACCTTCAGGAAGTGGAAGAGTTTGACAAAACATCCCAACCAACTCTGCAGCTAGGAAACACAAAGACTTGTTGAACACATCTGCAATTCGAATAAGCACACCCCAAGAGTAACAAAGATAGATTAGAGCACAAATCCATAAGGCATCCAATGATTTCTCAGTATGATCCACTCTTTCACAAACTAGCTTCGCTACTGCGAAAGTAGGCAACTCTTGTGCATTCAACCCCTTATCTCCCTCACTCAAACCATAATTATGTTTCCTCCTGATAGTCTCAACATCACCAACATGCTCTACACAATCCTTGTAAGGGCCTTTAAAATCAGGATAAGTGAACCCCTGATGATAACTCAGGAGAACCCCATAAAATGTTGGGAAAATTTGAAACCCAAAATGTCGTGTAACCTTTGTGAAGTATTCATGTGTAAACCCACCATCAACAGAAGCTTGGAAGCCATAAGTAACAACTGAGTCACTAATAACCATGTCAATGGTTTGCAACTTCTGATGGGGATTCACAACAGAGGAGACATACATGGCCACAAAGGAGTTCATTTGCTGGACAATATTATCAGCAAGGGAATCAAACACATCACTCTTAATACAAGGATCAATGAGCTTGGGAACCCCTAAGAAAGAAGAGGTGGAAGGAATGGCAGAAGGTTCAGGGACAACTTCAATAGAGAAAACCACACCAGTAAGGTGGCAGATCGGCTTCTTCAGAAGCTGTTGAAAGGAACGCCATGTCAGTATCCGACACTGACCATCCTTGGTAAGTCCTTACAAAGTCAGAAGGCGCCCCTTCCAATCAAAAGATAGCTGGCATTTCCTCAAGTCTTCCAGAAATGGATTGACTGTCTCTAACCAGTCCCAACTCAGCACAAGGTCAGGATCTGGTAAGTCGAGAGTCCGGACATCGAAATCGAATTCTTGACCCTGCATCTTCCAATTAAAGCCTCGACACAGAGAAGTACTCAACAATGTATGACCACTAGCTATCTTGAAACGCAATGGAGCAATACTTTCTGTTCTATATTTCAATTCGTCTGCCTGAAGAGAGTTCAAGAATGTGTGCGAGCTGCCCATATCGGTTAGAATAGTTACCACGCTGTCCCGCTGTCGCTGGAATGAAAAGAGAGTTGCCCGCAAAACCAGGTCCCATTTCTTGCAACGAGACCTCCAACTCTGCGTCCTGACACCCCTCTTCCATGGCATCTCTCCGCTGACCATGTGTAGGCATCCGCTTGCATCGACTAAAGTTGTGGCCGCTTTGCGCATACATGGCCATGAAAATACTTGGCTCCGCACTTGTAGCAGAGGCCCTGCCCCTTGGAACAGAACTGGGCGGAGGTAGCGATGGCTCCCTCGAAGGACCCTTTGTTGACGAGGCAGGCAGCGGAGCTGTTCAACAAGAATTAGAAACATGATGCAACTTCCGCTTGCGAGCGTCAATAGCGGACTCCTCCAGATGAGCTTGATAGAATGCACACGCCAGCGTCGGAGGATTGAGCACCTGTACGTGGGGCTGGATTTCCTCATCGAGACCCCATAGAAAGATCACGATGAAGTAATATTCATTGAGGTCTGGGTTCAACCTCAGCATTCTGGAATGGAGATCCTCTAATTCTTCTTGATAGCGAGAAACAGTCGTCGTTTGCCAAAGCTGATTGAAAGCTGCGACGACATTGAGTTGTTCTTGATTCCCAAACCGGTGAAGCAACTCCTCGATGAATTGCCCCCATATTAATGGAAACCGACGGAAGGACCACCCTTCAAACCATGTGAAAGTGCGACCTTCCAAGTAATACGAAACTAAATCGACCTTCTGCTCCTCCGAAATCGAATAGAGATGAAAAGTTTGTTGCACTTGCTCACCCACGCATGAGGTTCGGCGTCGGAGAAGTGAAAGAACTCAAGCCTGGGATAATGATCCAGAAGCGTCGGCCGACGATGTTGATGCCGGAATCATTGATTGTCGAAGAAATTATCGTGATTGGTGTGTTGCTGAGCTCGCTCCGGCGATTTCTCGCGAAGATGCGTCAATGAAGCTGTAAGAGCGTCAATGTTCTCGTTCGTCGAAGAGGCGAGAGCGGCGATGGCTGCTTTCAGATCGTGGTGCTGGGAATCCATCTACTACTGGACCTCCGCTATCTACGACTCAAAATCGACAATGCGGGATTTATTCGTCGCCATTGCCAGAGTACAGGCTTCTGATACCACTTTGTAAGGACCTTTATTGAGGAATCTTGCGAAGAAATGGCGAAGAAGAAGAAGATACAGAAGGAAAGAAGAGTTCTGATTATCTAACTATCTACAAATTGGGAAAGTAGCAATTTTGTTTACAGACTGGTTAAACGGTAGCCAATTACAGATTGTTTCTTCCCTTTTATACATTGGTCACTCCAAACACATCATCAATGCTAACTATCCAGGTTGTTACAACCCCCTAGGATGAGAGTGAATGGGAGTTCGAGGAACCAACGGGAGAAGCAGGGCGAGAGTCTCAGATCGAGCATGAGGGCCAGAGCTGCGGGAATTGAACAATAGGATTCCTCTCCCAATCGGACATGCAGCAACAGAGCGAGTCGATGACCACTTGTTCAATCGCGATCAATATTTTGCCCCTCCTCTCTCTCGCTTTCAAGGGATGCAATCTTATGGTTTGAAGGTTATAACTTTTCTATTTTTTTGCTTGCTTTTCTAGGGGTTGATTATGGACAAGGAGAATTGAACGGAGAAAGGGGGATTCTTTGAATAATTGGGACCAGAATTAAATGAGGGATCAGCTCACTAGTCCCTCTTCCTCCTTCTCTGCTCTGCGATCTCGTCTTTCAATTCCCATCTCGATTTCCTCCAACTCGTCCGAACCCACTCGCCCTCTCCATCTTAGTCGAAACCGGCGGAGGTTACACCGCAGCAAAAATGACAACAGGGAAAGCTTAAACGAGAGCCGCTAGCGATGGTGGTAGCCTCAAAAGTTTCGCTGACATTTGTGAAGAACATTTCCGTGGACCATGTTTCCTTGTCTGAAGACTCGTCCTGGTCGTCTTCACCGGCGCGGGAGGAGAGAGGATGGCAGGGAGAAGAAGAATAGGGTTAAGTTGGGTTCTCGGTTGGGTTGGGTAACGAGGTAGATATTTTTTTAGGTTGTGTTGGTCAAGAAGGATTGAGTATGGGTTGGGTGGATTATCTTATGTGACTTGTGTTAGTGATGTGACGGGTCAATATAGGTTGATTAGTCTTTTCTATTAGTCACGTCAGCAACAAACTGACGTCATTAACGAAGACTAACAGAAGTTAACGGAGAGTGACTAAACTTGGACGATTTTTGTAATCTCAGTGACTACAAATGACATTAAATATTTTTAGTGATCAAACGTAAACGTTTTTGGTAAACTCAGTAACCAACATTACAATTTACCCGAAATATTGGATTTTACTATTTTACCTAGATTGCTTCAATTTTGTTTATCAATGAATTAATTCATTTTTTTTATCATGGAGATACCCTAAATTGATAGATATATTTATTTATCGAGAACTTCTACGCACTAACTAATCAAAATGATTTATACTATCGTAGTTAACCATATTAATTATTTAGCCTAAATAATGGTATCTCTAAAAATGAATGCCTAGTTCCCTATTTAATCGACTATCTTTTTTATATGAATTTACATCATGTGAAATGCGTTTGTTTCCAAGAATCAAACGCAAACCTAATGAACTCACTTCTTGGTACGAGATCGAAATATGAAATTCTCAACGAGCACTTTAATCATCATCAACAATAATAATAAATAAAGAGGAATACTATAATAATTTATAATTCTGCCAAGTATATTATGCGGTATAAAAGACTTAAAAAGTCTAACAAAATGAAATTCCAGGCTAGCTCCTGAAAGTTTTCGTCCCAAAGAGATGAGGCGATGTGTTTGAAGCACGTCCGGATTTTGGGAATCAGAAAAATCAACTTTTGATGGAACCCAAGAGCCAACCTCCAATCCCATTCCTCATAAGAAAAACCAAACTTCTAATCTCGAACCTTCATGGTTTGGTTGTCACCATCAGAAGGAAGCAGGACCTATGCCCCCTGCGCGTTAACTTCAACGTTGGATTCATGCAACTGCTGGCTAGCTGTTCGATGAAATGCCCGAGAGAAAAGTGAAGATCCCCACGAGCGGTTGTTGCAAAGAAAACCTCCCTACATGAGATTTTCCACCGCGTCTATAAGTATCCACTTCGCCTCTAACCTTTGAAAAGTTTCAGCTGCTTCTCCTTCTGAACCTAAAGATTGCAGATACATACTTCCCCTGCTCAACTAAACACTGTTTTTAGCTTCTGTAAGTTCTTGGGCCTAACAATGGTGGGTAGTATGCCACCTTGCCTCCTTTTACTGAAACTTGGCTTCCTATGCATTGCAGCCTTCTTCAGCCATGCATCAGGTTTGCTCCGACAGCCCTTTCCCCCTTTCTCAGCTTTTAAAAATCTCATGACCTTAAACCGACTTAAATGTTGTTGCAGGAGACTGTGCACTGGACTTCAAGGCGTTCCCATACCAACCCACTGGCGAATGCGTCGGTAACAATAAGGTAGAAGTGAAGGATTTGAACACCATCAGCACAACACTCTGCTGTAGAAACGTTCTTCAAGTCATAACCCAAAACCTCGCCCTGAGAGCAAGCCAAACACATGGCTCTCTCTTTCTTCCACAAGACCAATGGAAAGAATGCAGTGGCCCTTTTCAGGAGCAGAACTCTGTTTCTCCACTCTCTTGTGGGTTCGATTTGCTGTACAGTGGGAACGGCCCTTGTTCCGCCCTATCTTTGGCAACATTGGAGCAGCTCTCTGGGTTCAGAACTACTGTCAATTCGTGTTCAAATCTTAATGCTTCGTTTGATAACGCTTGCAGCACTTGTGCTCAAGCGATTGTGTCTATGAGCACACATTTGATGTCGAACGCTCACGTTAGCAGTGATGACAGCACTCAAGCAATGATGTGCACAGTTGCTGTCGTGGTGGCGATTGCAGCACAGAAGTTGGAGGCGGGATCTTCTGTCGATGATCTTTACAGGTGTTTGCCTGTCATGCAGGATTTTGGTGGTAAAGTTCGATTCTGATCCATTTTTATGAGTAATTCTGTATCCATTTTTGGTGGTTACCTTTTCTGAAGTTAGGAATGAGAATGGTTTGGTGAGCCCGATACTTTGATGTTCATTCCTGTGCCATGAATGAAGGTCCAAGTTAGGGAAGTATTCGTATGAGACATAGATCGGGGCAGGTAGACCCATTATGATAAGTGAATATGAAAAATGCAACTTTTTCCAAGGATAGATGGATAGAATACACGACTAATGAACCCACAAAGTCATACTTTCATTATTTTAAGGAGTCAATATAGCAAGAACGAACCAGTATTAGAAAGATTTAACACAATCAGCGGAGAACAAGTCAAGATGAAAGTATAAGATCCACAGCTTGGTTCACTCTAATCAAGAGCGAATTATACCTTTATACTACAAGTTAATATAGGTCGATCGAACCGATCAAGTTGAAATTGACATTTAATTTCTGAGTTTTAAAGAATCTTAATGAGTTTATAATGTTGATGTTGCAGGCTCAAATGAAGGCTACGTGAGAATCAAAAGTAAGTAACCCACTTCCATCCCCAAAAAACAAACTTCTACAACTATGCCCCCAACAAGAAACTAACATAAACAAGTGTAGCTCTCTCTCAGATTCCGTGGCGAAAGCAGCAGGTTCCGTCCTAATAGCCGTCGTGATACTAATTCTAGTTCTCATCCTCGTCAAATTCGTGACGAGGAGCAAAGACAAAGGTAGAAGGAAAGCTGGGAAACCACTTCTGGAATCCCAAGAAGTCACGGCGTGGTCTGGTCTCTACAGATTCTCCAAGTACGAGATTCAGAATGCCATGAACTACAATACCAGTACCAGTGAGAAGACGAGCCTCGGGAGAGGAAGTGCTGGCCAGGTTTACAAAGGCGTTTTGCCTAGTGGACAAGTTGTAGCAATCAAGCATATCCATCAGGGACATACTTCAGATTCCTTCCATCGTGAAGTTGAAGGGCTTTCCAGGATTAGACATCCCAATCTCGTTTGTTTGTTTGGTTGCTGCATTCATGGCCCTGATCGGTACCTCGTTTATGAGTTCTGCTCGGCTGGCAACTTAGCTCAGCATCTGCTAAGTATAAATTCTCTCTTTTGAGGTCTTTCCATTTTCTGGTTAACATTTTGATATATGTCATATATGGATGATAATTTTGACCTGAATGCACTGACCTATTTTGTGCGGATGTTATTCACCCTGTGCGCAGCTTGTGGTGGGACATATGGATCCTATTTTTGGCCCCTCCAGATGAAAATTTATATTATGATGTCTTGCACATTACCCACCTTTGCCAGTTTACGTTTTAATGTATGAACTAACAATCATTTACTCCTAGACTTTGATAAATGAGCAAATGTTTCTCCAAAACACTTAAAATTCTCAAGAAAGTGCCAACCAAAACATGATTTCATTCAAATCCAACCCACAAATCTACAAACCCATATCAACCAAACCTTGAAGCTGCCAATCCAATCCATTTGTCATTTCTAATGTCAATTCTTTCTATGTTCATTTATTTTTCCATGTTTGTCTCTTCAGGAAAAGAATCAGTTCTAACCTGGGAAAGAAGAGTTAAGATCCTGAGAGGGTGCGCCCTTGGTCTTAGATACCTCCACCACTACATTGATGGTTGCATTGTTCATAGAGACATTAAGGTAGAGCAAGGGCTTGTGGGTCTGTTTTTTTCCCACTAAACTTTGATCCACAGATATCTCAATGTTTGTCATTCTATTTGTAATGTTATTACCAGCTTACAAACATCCTTTTGACTGAGGAGTTGGAGCCCAAGCTGTCAGATTTCGGATTAGCAAAGATGATAGGCATGGAAGAGAGCAAAGTGTTCACTGAAGTCAGAGGAACTATAGGCTACATGGATCCTGAATACATGAGCAACGCCAAATTGACATGTGGCAGTGATATCTACAGCTTTGGAATCGTTATTCTTCAGTTGTTGTCAGGCCAAAAGGTCATTGAGCTTGATCTTGATGCCAGAGACCAGATCACCAGAAAGGTAGTACTGTGTGATATTCAATTGATCAGCCCTGTAAATTGGAATTTGTTCATGATAATGAGTCTATTATTTCCTCTCTCGTCCAGGCAAAGGATGTGAGCCTGGGGAAAAGGCCACTGCTAGACTTTGAGGATCCAAGGCTCCATGGAGATCTCAACACCGAGGATTTTGAAGCCATCCTTCAAATTGCAGTCCTTTGTGTGGCGAAATCGAGCAAAGGTCGTCCTACGATTGATGTTGTGCTTGAAGTTTTGGAGAAGGCTTGGAAGAACACAGTTGCTCACAAGGTGGGTTTCTAATTCTCCAACTCCTCCATGTTTGTTTATTTTTTCGTACCATTTGGAACATGTGGCAAGAACCATGAAAACAAAACAAAAGGCTGACCTATTGTGGTGTACTTTGCAGAAAACAAGGCCTGAAGTTAGCTCACCTGGAGCTTCTTCATATTCACATTCCATAGATGTTATCCCTACCTGAGACAAAACATCAGAAAAGAACAGAGCCACAGTAAAGCAAAGAGTGGACAAAATAAAGGAAACAACTTGGTTTTTTGTTTCTTTTTTCACATCAGTGTTTGTGGCACAAGAAAGAAAGAGAGAAGCTTTTGAAATTGCCATCTTCTTGTCTGTTTAAAGTTTGTTTATTTATTAGCTTAGTTTCAGAATGTATTTTATTCAATTAGAGTGCAAGGGATTATCACTTATTTCTATGTACCATTCTCTAATGTAATATACCGTCTGTAGTTAGAGAAAAGGAATGCAGTATTCAAAGAGCTGATAATGAGAATCCTCACTTTTGCCTTCATCATAGATTCCTTTTGATATCCAACACACTCTCAGGTAATTTGCAACATGTTACTGAAGCCTTGTGGAAATCCAGAAGAAGAGTATCCCCTAAAACCATCGTCCATTTTGACTTTAGGTTCCATTTCGTCTATTAGAAGATTGGGCACTAAAAACCTTAGGGTCAGTACTAACCAAATCACTGAATTTTCATAAACAATTGGTGCTCGAAGTACGTTTGAGTTGAGGTTTTATCATTCAGAGCTGAAGTTGTCTGTACCTGCACATTTAGAGTTTGAGCCAGTAATTGTTTTGGGGATCAACCCATTACGATTTCATAAAGACTGGTCTAGACTTGCAAGAGCTAGACCCAGCAAGTTTGAGCATAGTTTTCTCATCTGTTTTAAGGTTTATGCTCGACCACCTGCTCTAAAAGACTTTTCTTCGAGTGAGCAGTCTTTCTATCTTTTTGGGTTGGAAAACCTTGAGGGCGGGCTGTTGTGCTAGTCAGAGCAGGATGGTGTGCTGGAAGCCTGGAAGACCTTTGAATGAACTCGAAAACTATTGCAGTTTATCTGGACTATGGAGTTTGGACCAAGACCCAGATAAGTACACTAGTTGATGAAGCAACCGAACAAACAGATTACCGAAGAAAGGCATAAAAGTTGAAGTGGTGATCTGAACTTATATGAAGACTAACAAAAAACCAATCAATTTGGAATAAATGATGTAATCATTTGTCGTATATTTATAAACTCATATATACAAAAGAATCACTAGCAACTGATTGTTGCTTCTGTATGGCTACACTGATACATTGAAAAAAATCAGTGCAGCAGCCTATTCTGAATCCCAACAATAAACTGGAATCCTACTTTTACATGAAAAAACTCTAATTGCAGCTACAGCTGTCTCTAGTCTCTACACTTCCTTGACAAAATCTGAAGGACTTACGCTCCACTACTGGTAACTTCTGCCAACAACTTCCACACGCTGACCACGCCGCTTGCATCCCCTGTGAAAAACAAGCCTTCAGGCCCACTTCGAATTGCTCTTACTTCCTTCTGTGAGTAAATCCTTCCAAACTCTTTGAGTGTTGGCAACTCGTACAACCCAACACTACAGTTGCTCCACGAACAGAACAAGATTGGCTTTCCTGCAGAATCATTCATCCCACCAAGAGCAAGTGCAGCACTTTCCTCTCCATGTATGTACAAAAGGCTTATGTCATCACTGTCATCTTCAGTGCAACCCCAGAACTTGACCTTCTTATCCATTGAGCAAGACACCAGGAACGTATTCCAGCAGATAACAGATGTTACAGCACCATCGTGTGCCTTGAGTGTTTGAATGCACTCCTCAGTATACAAATCCCACACCTTGATGGTCCCATCCACCGAACAAGAATACAATCTTCTATACAATTCGCCATTTATGGTAGCTCTCAGGCAAGTAACTGCACTTCCATGGCCTCTCAGGTAAGTAGCAGGCTGCTGAAATTGTGGATTGGCTTGCTGATCAGTGAAGCCTTTCCAAACCGAAATTGTACCATCTTCAAATCCAGCGTACAAGGTCTCCAACCCAAACTCCAAGGCATTAACTTGACCACTTGGACCAGTGAGGTCATGATAAACCCCTAACTTGAAGTTCCATGCTTTGACACCACTGGGGAAACCAACAAACACCCAATCTTCATCGCTAATCAAACATCCAATCCTGTGGTCACTAACATTTGCAGTCCCTGCAAGCAAACCAGTATGGCAATCCCAAGCACACACCACTCCACTGGTTGCTGAATAGAGTTTGTCGGATCCTGCAGGGAACCCAATCCCAGAAATAGACTTGTCACCATCATGCCTTTCTTCAATTAGTCTTGCTAGCATTGAGAACCCATCACCACGGCACCATGAATGTAGGAATTGGCAGCTCTCCCCTCTGCCACAGTTTCCAGACATCCAATCTTGACAACAAGCAGCCTTCTTTTCTTCAAAGTGTTCACTAGTAGTGGGGACAACAGCTACAGCTACAGCTAGCAGCAGCTTCAACATCTGGCTTCGGAGAGCTAGTAGTGTTTGCAGAAGCGGGTTCAGACGGGGATTGAGATGGGAGGACGCCATCAACATAACTGCTGCCCTTTTTACGTTGGCTCATCTGGGTGGCGGCAGCAGGTAGCTGAGAGCTTTTGGTTCTTTTGTAGACCCTATCTTCTTCAGGTGTTGAGAGCTTCCTCCGCAGATCACCAGGGGCCAATGCTTGACTCTTTTGAGTTTGAGATGCACGATAGACATTGGGACGATGACCATTCAAAGATGACGGCAGAGATTCCACCACCTTCGTTGCAGCCGCCTGCGGATCTCCATGCACGAACCTACAAGGGTTTCGATTACACCTTCCTTGTTTCCAGTAGTGGCACACAATGCTGCGACTGCGACTACTCTTCATAGACATTGCTACCTCAGCTGCTTGTTGATTACAGATCATCATCATCTTTAGACTGAAACAAATAAAGAACACGGCGACAGAGTAAACACCACGGACGAAACCCTAACGAAAGGAAACCGAAAAAGCACACGGAACTAGTCGCTCCTTGAATCCGTTTCGTTTCCCACAAGACGATGCGCCATAAATTTTAAGAAACCCAGAAGATGATGCGAACCCAGAGACGAGCGACGATCGAAGAGAGAAGAAACCAACCTTTGAGAGTTGAGACCCCGAACGATGAAAATCCAGAGACGAGTGACGATCGATTGAGACTTCTGAAACCCTAATCCTTCGAAGAATTGGGTTCCGTCTTCCGGCACCTCGAGCCGCGGAGAGATGTAGAGTGGAAAATCTCGATTCAATAGAAAACGGGTTCTGAAACCCTAATGATTGAGGAGAGAAATTATGGGGAGGACTGAGGAGTTAAAAGAATATGGGATGCGGAAGACAAGGAAAGAAATTCGGTGATGCTGATGTTTGATATATATAATCACCGGCAGGTCGGTGGGTTCGTCGAACGCGTTTGTTGCCTCCAACGGTCGAGTTAAGTCCGAAAGCAGACATGGCGGCAAGTTCTCAGAAACCGCGTTTTCCTCTCCTCCGTTACTTATGAATCGTTTGGAAGTTACAATTGTTTTGTTGAGATTGTCATTATGCATGTATTGTTTACAATGCATCGTTTATTTTGTTTTTAAGCAGAAACAATACATGGATTGTTTCTATGATGTGACAGAAACTATCACTCATTTTGAGTGATTGTTATATCTCAACTTTTAGTTGTGATTGTTGAGATAGTTGAGTCGAGATTGTTTTGTCTCAGTTTTTAGCTGATGTGACATACACAATCACACAACGTTGTATTCTACAATGCATCAAATTCAACAATACATGTATAATATTATACATGCATTCTCAACAATACATGTATAATATTATACATGCATTCTCAACAATACATCTATTTAACAATCGCAACTACCAAACGACCCCTATTTGGCCCAGCTTTTAGATGTGTTTTTTGGTTTCAAAAGCTAAAGCATGACCAAACACTTCTAAAGGTTTGGCTTTTGAAAAACCGAAAAGCGTTTTGTACAACATAAAAGCAGAAGCTTTGATTTGAAACTTCTGCGAAAAGCTGTTTTGAAAACACAAGATTATTCTTACCATATTTTAATTTTATTTTAATTTATATCATTTTAAAAATAAAATAAATTATAAAATCATATTACTTAATATAAACAAAATCTAACAAGATCCATTTTGACTACTTTTTATTGTTTAGAATTTTTATTCATATTGTATATTATAAGTCCTTTATAGTCATTTTACACAATCTCTCATATTACAAAGCACTTCTAAATCTAATAGTTTTACAACCAAACACTCAACTGCTTTTTTTGAAAAGTACTTATCTAACAACTCCAGCCAGAAGTTGCTTCTACAAAAGCTACAACAGGGCCAAACTAAGCTTTATTATTTCTCCCCCATTTTCCTCCTTGGTTTACAGAATACAGACTAAAAAAGTGGTGCAGCTATGTTCCTGGCCATTCGCCTGGTTGCTACGATGATTTGCAAGTCATGGTGATTTGCACAAAATTATCGACCGAAACAATATAAAGGTCCCCCGTTTAAATTACAGTTTGTCTTGCTATAATTGAGAAATGGTCGACCGTAGAACAAAAAAGTCGACCGCAAGCATTACCTAGTCAGTTTCATAAGGTCGACGATTAGAGATAAGATAGATCAGTTGAACACCTTATAAGTGTTGGATAAGGATTCCAACACTAAAAAGTCATTAGTCGTATAGATGGACTTTCCTACCACTTAATTCGTTCTAATCTCGATATAAACATCTATAAATGGACATATAATTCCACATAAACACCGGATATTATATTCTTCTATGGTTAGAGATTGGTGAAAACGAAGACAACTGTATGTTCCCTGTCCGTCTTCAGTGAGGTCGACCTCATACAAAGCCAGGTCGACCGTTTCTTTGCACACTGTTGACAACTATGATCTGTATCGTTTAAATTGTTGTTTTGTTTTGCTTTTTTTCAAGATAATCGCGTTAGCAACACTTTCATTCCGATGGATAAATTGCTTGGCTAGGTCGACTAGATTCTCAAATTGGTCTATCACTTTTGAACAATAACGTACTCTCTGTCTAGTTAGGGCACACTCTGGACTTCTACTTCTTTGAGGTAAGGAAAAAAGCTCACACAAATGGTCAAGCTTAAAATGTACCGGTCGACCTTGTTTTATTCTTTTTGTATTAGTTCTGATTCTATTTAAAAGATCGACCACTGCTCCAGTGTAATTTTTTGTTCTTTTAGGCTGAAAAGGTCGACCATAGGATAGTACTGGTCGACCTGTCATTTGTTTAATGGTACTTTTCCACATATTATATTTTGATTTGTAAGCTATAAAGTTCAAACCAGTCGACTTCTTAGTATGGCCGGTCGACCACTACTCTGTTGTTGCTCTTGCTAACTTATTTGAATTTGAATTTAAAATTTTGAGACAATGACACATGATGAGAAACAACAATACGGTATTGGTAAAATTATGAATGAGGAGAAAGTCACACAAAAGCATATGATGGAGTGTCAAAATGAATTTAATGAGTATCAAAAGTCCATGGAAGATACACTACAGAACTTGTCAGTTCGATTGGTTGATATCACTGGAATGATGCATGGTGGTTTGAGAGGCTAGAAAGAACTATGAGAGAATTAAGTGAAGAACCATTGGAGAACAAAGTAAGAGATGGAAGAAGAAAGAAATACGAATTTGAAGAAGAGGTGGAAGAAGAACATAACGCCTCTGCAAATTGTTACAGAAAATAGACGATTTATCGAAAGAAGAGAAGGTTAAGGTGAAACTATATTCATATGCATATTGTAGATATTATTATGACTATAATTGGTGCTAACTATTTTTTGTTCATATGATTAACAGAAAGAAACAATGTCTCTGTAGTGGTTCCTCTTGGCGTCTTAGTGAGATGGAAAAGTCCCTCACACGCCTCTTCTCATAAGAACATGAAATCTCGATTTGAAAGTCAATCATTCACCACTTCTCAGAAGGACCATAGGAATTGAATTATTTACTGCTGATAGCGATGATGACAATGCTAAAAGTCCTTATCAAAAGCATGTATAGTAAGTTTAATTTGTATATTCATAAGTATGAGTCTTTCTTATCACACTCCAATTTAACTAGTAATTGTATGTAAGGAAAATGGAGGGCCTAGAAGAATTTATGAAAGATATGCATAATCCAGTTGAAGACTTGTTTTATGTTGTTACTAAAGAAAGGGAGGGAGACACAAAATAGGACAAGTAAGAAAAATATTTTTGTATATGCATATTGAATAAAGGAAGATTTCTTAAAATGATGTTATGTTATGATATCGGTTGTTGTTGCAGTTTGCTCGTTCTTGACTTTATAGGAGAAAACATGTAGTGGAGATATTTTAGTAATTTAAGAAGAGTCAATGGATTTGCTCATTTGTCAGTACTATACTGCTACAACTTGGGTATGACTTACGATGATTTTGGTGTTGATTATTGAAATTTAGGTAGTGGACTTGTGTTCAACTAACTTCACTAACAATGTCTGAAAAAAATGAGAATAAGGAGCCAAACGTGTGGTATTTGACTAATATGTTTTTGGTAAGACACACATTGCTCATAACGTGGTTACTAATATTATATACACAATTTATTTCCATAATATTATGGTGCAGATCATGGTACACCTAAAGTTGAAGACACAATTTTTTTGTAACAAATTTCTTGATGATAGCGTGGTTTGTATGCTGAATGTTAATATATGCAAGAAGGTTAGCCAATGTTCCAATCTCATCAAAATTTCAAATTGCATTTTTAGTATTCTCATTTTATAACATACTTTGTTTTGTATATTTGTATGCTAGTTTTGGATGATGCAATCGTATACTGGTATCTATATCTCGCAAATGTGTAGCAAAAAATAGCTTTATTGCTTGAAAGTATACCACCTGACGAGCCTGGTCGTAAAAATAGAAGAAAAAATTGTAAAATAATGGTAAGTATTACAAGTATGGTTCCTAATGCGAAGTGTCATTTGTACTTCTAGAAGTATGATTTTGGTTATTGTATTGTAGTTGGAAAAACTACTTGATCTGTTCGAACTCGAGCGTAAGAGTGGGAAAATAGTAACAAATTTCAAAATCTCAATATCGGTGAGCTATGTGTTCAAAAGGAAAATGAATGATATTGAATGTGGTGTGCACTTGATGCAATGGATGCGATATGGAGCCAAAGATGTTGATAGAGTGGTTCGTATATTATGCATAAAACTTACTGAAAAATTATTTGTTTTTGTCCTTAACAATTATTTTATGCCTTTATGAAGATAGAGGAAGAACAACAATTACAAACTCGGAAGGAGATTCTATGGTTTCTGCCTTCACATTTTGGAAACAGTG